CTTGGGGCTGGGACTTTTCACCCAAAAGGTGGCCACCAGGCCCTCTTGCCGGTCCCCACGTAAAGGCTCGATACTAGACATTTTTTATGTCCCACCTGTCCCCTCTCTAGTCTCTAGACCCTAGGCTCTGTCCTCACCTCTCGAGTCACCCGGCCCCCCTTTCCGAGGCCCCGGGAGGCTGGCTGGTCCCCTGGCCCCAGGCCCCAGGCCCCTGCGCTCGCCCCCAGCTCCTCCTTCTCCTCTTCCGCGCCGCCCGCCCAGCCTGCAGGCGCAGCGCAAAGAGAAATCCCGGAACGCGGCGCGCTCCCGGCGCGGGAAAGAAAACCTGGAGTTTTTCGAGCTGGCCAAGCTGCTCCCGCTGCCCGGCGCCATCTCGAGCCAGCTGGACAAGGCGTCCGTCGTGCGCCTCAGTGTCACCTACCTCCGCCTGCGGCGCTTCGCCGCGCTCGGGGCGCCCCCTTGGGGACTGAGAGCCGCGGGGCCGCCGGCAGGTTTGGGTGAGTGCGCATGCGCGGAGGACCCCCCCCCCCCATCCCATCCAGTGCCCACAGAGCGGGGCCAAGGTGCTAAATGCAGGCCAGTACCCCCTCCAGCTCGGAAAGCCGGGGTTTGGAGTGGGCCCGAGCTTCTGAACTCCAAGCCTTGGCTTGCTCTGCGCCAAAAGCGACCCCATACGTCGGGCAGACTTGGTGCATTCGGCCCTGAGCTCGGGCCACCAGTCAATGCAATGCCTTTTCTCAGGGGATGGGACTCTTGTCACAGAGGCTCCAGGGGCGGGCCAGAGGACTCTGTGCCTAGGTCTGATTGATGTCGGAGGAAGGCCTTAGGACCGTGCCTCCGGGCCTGAAGGACCCCAGACAGGACACAGGGACCCCGGGGGCAGCGGGGGGAGACAGCTTGCCTGAAGGCCTGTGCCTACTCCACCCTTCCAGCATGTGACCCTGGGCAAGTGGAGGGACCTCTCTGTGCCCCTTGTGTGTAAAGTGTGTCACAGGACCAAACTTCCCAGAGGCGGGAGGAGGGGACCGGCCAGGTAATCAGTGAAAAGCAGGAGCCCTGGTGGTGCAGGCGTTAAGCCCTTGGCTGCTCCCCTGAGCTTGGGGTGGTCAGCTTCCCTGAAAAATGACAGCCAGCTTGGCCCAGTTCAATGCCGTCCTCCAAGGTTGCTGCCGTGTGGCCACCAAGTGGCACGGTTTAGCTGTCTGCACCCTGCAAATTGATGGGCTGCTGACCAAAAGGAAGTGAATGGAGCCCACCCGGAGACACCTCATAAGAAAGGCCTGGCAATCTATTTCCAAAACAGCCACAGTTCTATTCTAGCGCTTACTGGCAGTGGATTAGAGAGCTGTTAGCTACGTGACCGTGCCAGGCTGTTGGAAGCCTTTCTTGAGTACCTACTGTGTGCCTGGCCCTCTCCCGGGCGTCCTGGCCAAGGAACAATAATTTAATGCCGACGCACAGAGACCCAAGGGAACCAGACAGAACTGCCCCTGGGAGTCCCTGAGACTGTAACTCTTTACGGGCATAGAAAGCCCCATCTTTGACCCAAAGGAGGGGCTGGTGGTTTTGAACTGCTGACCTTGCATACACTGCCCAAAGAGTAACCACCACACGAACAGTGGGTTGTAGTCGATGCCGACTCTGACCCCGTGTGTCAGAGTAAGTCTCGGCCCCTGAGGGCTGCCAAATGGCTGGCTTTTCTGCGGCAGCACTTCTGGCAGGACCCCCTAACCCCTAGCCCTTGCCTTGAGCTACCGCGCATGTTAATTGACCGTGGGAATCCCCTGGGGGGCCTCACAGTAGATGTCACATCTGTATACAGCAGATTCTTCTGATTCTGACGACATTGGGCCAGAGGCCGGAGGGCTGGTCTACCACCAGGATGATTCTCTCCAGGTTCCGTTTGAACGCTTCATTGTGATTATTTGAGGGCAGTGAATGTAGCTAATCTGAGACCATAGGCATATAGACACACACACACACACACACACATATATATGAATGACAGGGGACCCCAAGCTATTTACTCCTGGCATTCCCCCCCATAGGAAAAAAAAGCGTGCTTTCAAGGTGGGGTTGGGAGGGTTTCAATTCCCCTCCTGCCCCAGCAGTGGGGGGACCGAGGGGGGGGGGCAGAGAGAAAATAGCATTGATTAAGCTCGCAATAAATCACCATTTAAATTTAAATAATCCGGCTTCCCAGGTGGTGATTAGGGGAATTGACTGGCGTCGGGAGAATACGGCATTAGTGCTGATTACTGTCATTACCGCGAACAACATGTGCACTGGCGGGGAGTGGGGGGAGCATAAACATCTTGTCTATTGTCCCCAAGCTCTCCAGCGGGGGGTGGGTGTGGGTAAGGGAACACCCAGGAAGGGGTGGCGATGGCTGCAAGGGCCCTGCTTCAGTGCCCCCATTGCATAGATGGACAATTTGAGGCTTGGAAACCACCAGGGGGCCCCTGAGGTCCCTGCCTGGGGTTGACAGACCAGTAGATTTCAGCCACCTCCCTGCCTGTCTTCTGACCCCAAGTAGGGGCAGAACAGGGGAGAGTGTTGTGTGGTTCCCCCACCCCACTTACCCTCGGTGAGATCTTGAGGGCATCTCCTTCAAAGGACCCCCACCAAGAAGCCAAGAGTCTGCTGCTATAATTCAGATGAGGAAACTGAGGCACAGTGAGCCCAGGGGCTGAGCTGAACTCAGAGAAGGAAGCCTGGTCCCCCCACAATTTGAAGGTGAAAGGCTTTGCCCTCCTCACCCTTCCTCCCAATGCCTGGACATGATTCCGACTTATGGTGACTCTCCAGGACAGAGTAGAACTGCCCCCTTTGGGTTTCCAAGACTTTGAGCCTTTCTGGGAACAGACAGCCTCATCGTTCTCCTGAAGAGCGGCTGGTGGGTTCGAACTGCTGACCAGAGGCATGATCTAGACTAGAGAAAGGACATGCTCTGGGCGCCACTGAGCACCCTCGCTCGAGTCATCCAACTTCCACCGGCCCCACTGTGAGGGTTTACCCAGCAATTTTAAACCTGGTTGGCTGCAAGTTCTACTTCAGGCAGATACGCTCTGCTTACAGCACACGGGAGAACAGTCTCTGGGGTTTCCGAGGCTTCTGGTAGCAGCAAGCGCTTTGACCACAGTGCCATTAGGAGTCTTTTCACTCACTCCACACTGCATGGAAGGAGCCCTAGGCTTCTGTCGGCGGTTCAAACCCACCCACTGCTCTGCGGGAGACAGATGAGACTACTCCAGTAAAGATTTAGTCTCAGAACCTGTGGAAGCTCACGATGACTTGGAATTGACCCAGGGGCCCAGGGCTTGCTTGTTTGAATTTTAGACCGTATCTAGCAAGCTGCTCCCATAAAGATACAGTCTTGGAAACCCTGTCTCGGCTTCTATGTGACCTGTTGGCCCTGTGGGTTAGGCACTGGGCTACTAACTGAGAAATCATTCGTTCAAACCCACCAGCCATGCTGAAGGGGAAAGACGAGGCTGTTGGCTTCCATAAATATGTACGTCTGTCTAAGAGTCCACGAGTCAAAATTGATTCGGTGGCAGGGGATCTATGATATAGAAAATTTACTCACTTCAGTCTCTCAGAATCATAGGAGGGAGGCACTATGTTAAATCCCATTTTAGAGAAGAGGGAAACAGAGGCCCAGAGAGGTAAAGTCACTGGTCCAAAGTCACACAGCTGATAGCCGCACTCAGATGAGCTGGCTGCTGCGTCCCACCTTGGCAGCCTCCCCGCCTGGCATGTGTGCGGGTCTCCAGGCCAAGTCCTGCCTGTAGGCCTCACAACAAAAACACCCCAAGATCAACTACAACCAAGTTGACTCAGACTCATAGTGACTCTGTAGAACAGAGCAGAGCTGCCCTGTGGATTTCCAAGAGTGTAATTTTTTTAAAAATCATGTTATTGGGGGCTCATACAACTCTTATCACAATCCATACATACATCAATTGTGTAAAGCACATTTGTACATTCCTTGCCCTCATCATTCTCAAAACATTTGCTCTCCACCTAAGCCCCTGGCATCAGCTCCTCA